GTTTTCTTTTTAGTTGCCCACTACATAAATGCTTTTAGGACTGAACAAAACAGCTTCTAAATCACGCTAGTAATTCTACCAAACCATGTATACCTAGTCTAGTATTTGTAGAAATAGAGCTTCCAAATTTTCAACTCAGACTCGTGAACTAACCGTAGCAGTAACTTATTATAACCTATATATGTTTCATTATCTTTTAATCAACACAATTATTACTATCAAATATGTATAAAATAAAAAACCATTCATGGCATGACAATGGTCAACAAATGAACACCCCCACAAAGAGGCAGCATTCACAAAAATCAAACTCTAGTTCATGCTTTCCCACACTAAGTCCAACTATAATGATTCCAACTTAGAATATAAGTTCAAAAAATATACATATAAAAATAAAACAAAATCTCTCAACTAATTGTTTAACATGGGGCACAAGTAACCCACACCATGTACAAAGGGTTAATATAAATTTATGCTCTCATCCTCCATATCTTATTGAATGGATCAAGCTACCTTCCTCTCCATCACTACCTTCTTCCTCCTCTTCTTCACAAGAACTAACTAACTAAACTAACCAAAACACACAAAACAAAAAAAAAAAAAAAGGAAAAAAAGAAATCAATGAATTTCTTGGAATTTCCTCTTTACTATCATCAACAACCCCAAAAACACGGGGAATACAATCTTTACGAATCGATCCAATGTTTGCCTCTTCTGAGCAGGCTAACCGAGAGAAAAGAAGTGAAGGAAGAGGAAAAAGAGGACGAACAAGGAGAAAAGGTCGGGGGAAATAATTTCTTGGGAGTTGAAAACGACAAGGCCGAAAATGTGGCTGTGGCTTTGCACATAGGGTTGCCTGATATAGGAGATATCGAAATGGATCGTGATCGGCAAAAGCATTATCATGAGCAGGAGGAAAAAGGAGATATTGTGACCACAAAAAGTTCTTCTAATGAATGCAATTATAATAAGGAGAGGAGGTTTTGGATCCCAACACCAGCTCAGATTCTTGTCGGGCCTATGCAGTTTTCTTGCGACATATGTAACAAGACCTTCAATAGGTACAATAACATGCAGGTTAGTCATATTTAATTCAAGTTAATTGAAAATTGAATCTATTATTTTTTTTATTTTTTATTTTTTGGTTAATAGTGTTACGGTATGGATCATTTTGATTTTAAATTGCCTAGCTAGAGAGAGAATTTCAAAGTGAATCTTGTGTTGGGTAGGAGAATTAAACAACTAACTTAAAATACAGTTATCTTGTACTCTTGCATGAAAAGATTCCGAATTTTAGAACATTACGTGGAGTTGATTAAGGGTTTAATTTTAATTAATTAAGATTCGTGTTCATGATCTGAAGAATGAGCGGAAGATGACCTAAATATATATATAGAATGGAACTATTTTAATTCCGATGAGAGGCTGCTGAGAGATTAAATTTCGTCGCGTTCTTGTAATCATTTCTTTTTATTTAAATCACTCGAACTTTTTTTTTCTTTTTTTTTTTCTATCAATTTGAAGACGAAAAGGTAAAGAAAAAAGGACAAAAAGAAAGACTAACACTTAGAAATGAAGAGTGAGTTTATACAAATTGAGCTGCAAAGCCCGAAATATATCATTACATGAATTGAAGAAGCATAATATAGTATGTTCAATTCGGACGTTCTATTATCATTATAAAATTTGTGTTCATGTTATATGAAAATAATTTTACAATATATACACACATATATAAAAAATAACATAAGCTTCATATTTATACACACGGTGTTATTCATGTAGGTAGCTACAAATTAATCTAAGATGGTTGAATTCATCTTAGATTACTTTGATGATAATCTAATAGTATACTCTGATAATTACTTTTTTTTTTTTATTTACCATTAAAGTCCATATATAAGATGATTGAATTCATTACGAAATTAAACCTCATCATTACTTTCACATTTATTGATTTGAGGGGGACAAATTGGTAGGGATTTGTTCATAATCGTTAATTATCAATTTTGGGTCCCCCTAATTAAGAAACCCTCGAATTGTATGCAACACCATCATCACCCATCCTAACAATAATAAGAAACCATATATGATTATTTATGGCTCCCCGCACCAATATACGATTAGAATTGAAAGAGCTTATATAAAATCAAAGGAAGACCCAGCAAACTTACACATGATTTAAAAATAGAAATGGATGTAATTATTAATTATACTTAAAATGAAAAAGCAAAACTTACTTAGATATGTTACTGCCCATTAGAAATACATATTCAACTCGCATACACACATTTACACACCATATTTGGGATTAGATAGAAGAATAAAAATGAAAATGACACCCTTTAAATGGTTTTATCAAAAAAAAAAAAAAAAATTATGTATCTAGCAAATTGTAATTTTGATATCTGAGATACACATGGGATATTTCAATTTCAACACGTCCCTCAATATGTACTCATTTCATGAATGGAAGACGTTTTACATACTAGCAAAGCGAGTAAAATCTCGTAGGAGTTTTATAAATTATAATAGTCTACACTTGTAATTACAACCTTAATTTGTAATCATAAAATTATCATAACAATCTCAGTGTGTTTTAAATAAATTTTAACATTATTTGCTTATAAAAAAGTTGTTGAGTCATCTTTCTCATGCATGCTTCTAGCCAATTCCGAATTCAATCAACTTGTTTTCATTTCCAATCAAGAATATGGAATCCCGTCTAGTAACTTATGTCTACTATGCTTGCCACATTCGATTAAATTTACAAAAGGCAAACAAACATGTGTTATCTGTCTTCTTTTCTTTAAAAACAACCATCAATTTGTTAGGCCTAGAAATAAGTGGACATATATATATAAATGCAGATGCACATGTGGGGCCACGGGTCAGAGTTCCGGAAGGGTCCAGAGTCTCTGAGGGGCAGCCAGCCGGCAGCCATGCTGCGGTTGCCATGCTACTGCTGCGCTCAGGGCTGCAAGAACAACATAAACAACCCGCGCGCACGCCCACTCAAGGACTTCCGCACCCTCCAAACCCACTACAAGCGCAAGCACGGGGCTCGGCCCTTTGCCTGCCGCCGCAAGTCGTGCGGAAAGACCTTTGCCGTGAAAGGCGACTGGCGCACGCACGAGAAGAACTGCGGGAAACTATGGTTCTGCATCTGTGGCTCTGACTTCAAGCACAAGCGCTCTCTCAAGGATCATGTCCGCTCCTTCGGGAAAGGCCACTCTCCCCATCCTTCCCTCGAGGACGAGAGAGATTGTTCCATCACGCCCGGCTCTGAAGACGAGCCTTGACTTTTTTATTTTTATTTTTACATATAAAAAATTAAAATCTTAATTAATATCGTATTTCGTAAGTGTGTGCACAAGCGAGTGCTCGGTAGCAAAAAGTTCCCTTACCTAATGCGTGGGATTCGTTGTTCTGTATTCTGAATGTTATCAGCACACGCGAGTTGAGTTGAGCTGATAATATTCAGAATAGGGAGAGACACGCTGGGAACAGTTTGCTATGGAGCACCATGAGTTAATAATTAGGTGGTTTAATTTTAGTGTTGGTGGTGGTTAAGAGGTTTGCAGATTTGGTGTTTTGTGTGTTTGGAATAAGAGGAGATTAATTAATACGTAATGTGTAACTTGTGGAGCTGATGAATTTTCTTCCTTGTGTTTTGGGTTTGTTGTGGAGCCTAACTAGGAGTCGAGGAAGAAAATTTGTCAGCTTTTGAGTTGTGCGGTGTTTTCTAGTGAATACTGATCTTGTTTTCCATCTTTGCATTTGCTTTATTACTGTGTACTTTGCGCCTTTATATATAGATGGTTAACTTTGACGGTAGTTGTTGCATTGTTGACCCTTATTCGTAGATTGACCCAGGATAGAAAATTAACTAAATGAAGGATAAAATGAAATTTAGACTAATTCATTATTTATATTCGAGGTCTTGACTAGCTAATTAATAATTATTTGATTATACTTATAATTCTCATCATATTTAGGCAGATGAGTAATTCTAGTAAAACCTTAGACTTAATGTCAAAAACATATTATCGTGCAACTCCTTTATCTCTCTATATATAATTTTCAATTTCTCTATATATAATTTTCAAATGTGAAAAACCTAAATAGTATATTCACACGTCTCGTATGCTTTACAAAAAACAAAAAAAAAAAAAATATGTTTCATACTTTCATATATATATATATAGGCGTAGTTGTTACCAGCTAGGCTTGAAATGCCACAAACTCATTAATTAATTCTTTCTTTTCATATATTATCGTATATTATATTTTATTTTTCTTATTTAATTCACATATTTATTATTATAAATGTGCCTTCTTTTTTTTTAAATATATATTATTTTTTATTTTCATATATGATATATTAGATTAATCATATTTCAACAATATTTTATTTGACACTTGTATTGTGCACATATAAAATAACAATTTATTCCACTTATCTTTATAAATAAAATTTAAATTTATTTATCATACCAAATTGAAAAATTTCATATATATATATATGGATTGGTTCCAATGCATCCGCTTATTTAAAGTGAGGACGTGTACTCATTCCTAGCCACAAGATTTAGATCCTGATTTAAATAATAATTCTTTATTTTTATTATTTAATTCTTTATTTTTAATTATTTAAATATTATTATGACCATTGACCGTAGACTCCGGCATTGACTGTTGACTTCCATCGTTGACTTCCGGCGTTGACCCATTGACCTTAGTATGCATCATGTATGAAAGAATAATTAAAGACAACTAACCTTGCAACCAAAGACAATTAACCTTGCAACTAAGGACAACTAACCTTGCAACTACAGACAACTAACCTTACAAACTGAATACAACTAAACATTGCAAATAAAAGCAACTAGAGGCAACTACAGACAACTAATCTTGCAACTAGAGAAAACTAACATTGCAACTAGACAGAACTAACCTTGCAACTATAGATAACTAACCTTGCAATCAAAGACAACTAACCATGCAATTACAGGCAACTAACCTTGCAGCTACAGACAACTATAACCTTGCAACTAAAGACAACTAACCTTGCAACCAAAGACAACTAACCTTGCAACTAAAGACAACTAACCTTCCAACTACAGACAACTAACCTTGCAAACTGAATACAACTAAATATTGCAAATAAAAATAACTAACCCTGCAACAAGATAGAACTAACTTTGCAACTATAGACAACTTACCTTGCAACTGGAGAAAACTATCATTGCAACTAGATAGAACTAACCTTGCAACTAGACATAACTAACCTTGCAACTAAAGACAACTAACCTTGCAACTACAGACAACCAACTTTGCAAACTGAATACAACTAAACATTGCAAATAAAAACAACTAACCCGGCAACATATTTTCAATAACTTTGCAACATATTTACACTAACTTTGCCTCACCATATTTTCATCATACACAATACATATTATGGGCAACGGGTCAATGCCGGAGAATGTCGGAAGTCAATGGTCAACGCCAGAAGTCAACGATTCTTGCCGGAAGTCAACGATCAATGCTGGAGTCAACGGTCAACGCCAAAATCAACGATCAACGCTGCAGTCGACTAATAATTATTTTTATTATTTAATTAATGTATATTTTAATTGATTAACATAAATCCTTGATCTAGACAAAATGAGTGGCTAAGATTGAGTCTTACGTACCCATTTTAAGGAGTGGTCTCATTAGATCCACCCTCCAGTGAGAATGGTGGTCAGTGAAAGAAATAAGAATAAATCTGAGCCACATAATCTAATCATCCAACAGTTGAAAAAAAGGCCAAAATTTAAACACATTAAAGGGTAATGTGGTCAATTTATCTACTACCCAAGTTAATGGGACCCACCCCACCAGCACATTCTGTCTCTCCCTCCCCATTACGTAATTAATGTTTCCCTTTCCTCTCACATGCGCACACATCAACCGAGAAAACACAACCACATCAACCGAGACAGACATAGCAACAGAGACTCACGGCCGACCGGGGCCATTCCTGCCGCCGACCTCCCACCGGAGTGTTAATGTTATATACTGAAAGTTTGGCTTTGCATATTATTACACATTTACCCTTTATGAATGAGAATCAAGTTAGATTGAACAAGTTCTACGTTCTGCTGTTCTGCACTTAGATGGAGTGGGTCGTCATCGAGCGAACCGAATATCACTCTATCAGTTACTTGCGAACAAGAATAGTTGTTCACAAACTAGATGGACATGAACACTCTATCCTAACGGTTGTAGTGTCAACTGTACAGTTTGTCTTGACTGATTAGTTGCACTAGTACATTTATGTATTGAACAGGATCCCAGAGAGGAGAAGTTCATTTTATACTGATCGTTGTAAATGAACTAGGCCTCGGTTAATTACTGCGTTCTCTTAACCCGTAAGATATTAAATAGGCAGATATGTATAATATATATTACTTTGATTCACATGGGTGAGGTTCAGTTCGCTGGATTAATATTCCTACTGTTTTGGGTAATATTATCATATATAGGATGTCCTGTTAGGATATTTACGGTCACCATGTGCGTTAGTTTGATGATGTCCCCGGAGTGAGTTCATGAAGGATTGTTATGTTAAACCCTGCAGGTGGATTAAGTTCCGGTATAACAAGAATGTGATGAACAAGAGCTTGCTTCGGTGAAATAATAATAACTTAATTAATTCTTGATTGTCAGTAATCGAATTAATTAATGGACATTATATCTTAAATCTGGGGAGGTAAATCGAGTAATTATTATTGGAGTCTCAAATGTAATTTGGGCTAGGAAGAGGGAGTGCAATAATATAATGTTGGTGGCCCATTAATATTATTTAATTAATTAGAGGAGTGGGCTTGGCCCACATTTAGTCTAATTAATTAATGAGCCCTTTTCCTAATCTCCTAAGGGTCCTACTGTAGCTCTATGTATTCATCATTAAGCTCATGAGAAGAGAACATAATTCCTATTCTAACGTGACACACGCCACCGGAAGCTCCCAGGCTGCAAAATTTCATTTTGATCTGTTTGAATCCGTTTGATCCGGTTTTGATCTGATCTTGTTGGTGCAACCCAAGACGTGATTTGCGGTCAACCGTTCGTGATCAACTAGATCTACATAAATTTTAAGCTGTAAGTTCTCTACGTCAAACCTTTAGATCCGCTGCGCATAGGTTTATGTTTGCTATTGAATTCGTGACTTGTACGTAACGAGATCCTCACAGATCCCAACAAGTGGTATCAGAGCACTTGGTTAATTCGTTTTGTACAAAGTTCGAATTTTTACGGCTTTATTTGACAAGATGTGTTCAAACGCAGCCATATATTGGATTATATTTGCATAACTCGGTTTTCCAGGAATAATAGTCAATCCACTATTATGGTCGATTACGTGTTGGATGAATTTTGTTGAATGTGATGTATGGTTTTAAATTTTTTTTAAAGTCTCGGACATGTCGAGGAATTGATGGATGAATGTTTGTAATAATTATTCGCCCGGAGGTTGACCGGATAGATTTAATTATTTGTTTAGAAAACATGTACATCTATTCGTTGGATCTAGAATCGAATTATGTAATTTTGTAAATTATATTTTTCGTGTTGTGATCGTGTGTTGATGATCGGGAGATCACAAGAGATCAACGAGCCTCGAAGAAAAAAAAAACGACGGCGGCTTTTTCCGGTGAACTGGCAGGCGGCGATCGGTGGCCGGCGGCGGCGGACTGGTGGCGGCAGCTGGTGGTTCGTTTTTGCCTTGATGATCAAGCAGTACAATATCAACCAGGATTCTACTGCTTAAAGGAGTTTCAGTTGAACAGGGAAAGAACTGTCAAAGTTTCCTTGTTTAAGGAGACTCAATATTTAATGGCCATAATAGTGGATTTATTTATTTATTTAATTAAATTTATTATGCCATTATATTATTATTTATGCATGTTAATTAATTATTTTCTTGCATGGAATTAATTTAGTATTGCTAGATTAATTATGCATGTTAATTAATTATGTAATGCATAGGATTAATTTGGAATTGTGTCAATAAATTATGCGTGTAATTAATTATTGCACTGGCATGGATTAATTTAAAATTTCATAAATTATTGAACATGTTAATTAATTATTGCATTGACATAGATTAATTTAGAATTGCATTAATTAATATGCATGTTAATTAATTATTGCATTAACATAGATTAATTTGGAATTGCATAAATAGTTAAAAATCCTCATTAAATTATACTAAGTTTGAGAAGGGATTTTAAATTAAAGTTAATTGTAAAATTCCTAAGGCCTCCATTTTTAATTTGTCGGTAAATCAATTAATTGCGGTAATGGGCTCCCCCACGGGTGACATTGCTAAAATTGGTTGTAGAAAATTACCAGGACAAATTTTTAAAATTAGACGGTTAGAGGAAATTTTAAGAGAGCGCACGGGCCTCCCCACGGGGGATGTGTAATCAATTTTGACAACCTCAGAATCGAGAAATGGAATTCACTTAGAATGCGATTCATCTATAAACTCCCCACGGGGTCCCTGGATTTATTGCATGGCCAAATGGAGACCGACTATTAATTTTGTTCGTCATGAATTTGGTTTTGATTTATGGAAATTAATAGGGCCGTGAAAAGTCCTTCTCTTACAAAATGCGAGTTTCTAGGGCGACCCACGTAGCATGCATTCTCACGAGGTGTAATAGATGTCGGTGAATTTAAGTTAATATTGTTTTGAGGATATCAATATTAACAGTTAAATTCAAAAGTGTTTAATCTGTAAAATTTATTTGCATGATTCTCAGAATATTCATCATGTCGT